ATTTAATGAAAAAGCCTGAAGAGGCTCAGGGAGGAAACAATGGACTAGTTGCTGGCCTAGGCATTTATTGAAGGGAGGGGGGTAGCTGTGGTGCATAAAGAAGCAGTATTAAAGGGATTTTTACGCTAATGATGAAAAATTTTCAACACGGAGCTATTTTTTAAAAATTGGTATTGTTGGGTCCGTTGCGATATGCCAAGTAAGTGTAAATATGTAAATTTCGTTGAGCAATATTGATATGGGGGCCCCCTGGACAGAGAAGGGATTTTTATAAATGATGACAAATTTTCAACGCGGAGCAATTTTTTAAAAATTGGTATTGTGGGGTTCTTTGCGATACGCCAAGTTCAAATATGTAACTTTCGTTGAGCAATATTGATATGGGGGGCCCACTGGACAGAAAAGGGATTTTTATGCTAATGACGACAAATTTTCAACGCGGAGCTATTTCGTCAAAATTGGTATTGTTGCGTTTGTTGCGATACACCAAGTGTAAATATGCATGTTTCATTGAGAAATATTGATGGGGGGGGGGCTGGACCTGGAAAGAAAAGCGCTTTATATGCTAATGATGAAAAATTTTCAACGCAGAGCTATTTTGTAAAAAGTGGTATTGTTGGGTTCGCTGTGATATGCAAAGGTCAGATATGTATGTTTCGTTGAGAAATATTGATAAGGGAGCCCCCCCTGAGCAATCTCTTGAAAAAAAATATTATTTTGCTGCAGTTCCTCTGCATCTCGCCAGGATATCTAGATTTATCTTTAATGTGTTACAACTAAAATATAAGATGGAATTGTGATGGAATTGTAAGATTAACCAATAATGGTTGTCTTACGTGATTATCAGTCAATTTTGTTGCGGAATTGTCCTGAATTCCCCCAATATTTATTTGCTGCACTTTGAACCAAAATCGCATGGGGGAGTTGTAACGGGTTTTCGTCTAATTACTAACGAACGGTTTGGGTTACGGTCAAAGTTACTTTGTTCAAAGTTATCTAGTATCGTAGGCTATCCGTGTCCAAAATATGGTGTACCTGTGTTGATTGTAACGTGATCTATTTGGCTCTAAAGATTTCTTGGTAGGAACGCGTTTTACTACTTCGCGCCCCTAGAACTAGAGACAGGTGAATGGTCTATATTCTCACAAAAGATGAAGGAAGAGCAAATTTATTAACACCACAGCCAGGTCAGTATATCAGCCTGGTATTGTGCAAGTTTAAACCGGATATACAAAATCCTTATCAATTTATGAAGGGAAACGCACTTCTGTGAGATGCGATCCTAAAATCGTCTATGAGGAACGCAATGTTGGGACGACGCCTCCTTGCCAAGAGGTCTGGGAGTTATATTTCGCTAAGACTTCAACGCATTTCTTTCAAATTTGAGTGACTAATTTTCAAATGCGTTCCCACCCCATGCCCAAAATCCCATGCCGATATCACAATTTATTTTTGAGTTAACTATCTTTAAAGCTTTTGGAGATTAACTTCCATAACTACTTCATATATCACAGTTCACATGTCATCTCAATTGAAGATTGTATTTTTACAAGGCATCATTAGCAGTTTTATTGACAGCACAGCTAGATCAGCACATCAGCCTGGTATTGTGAGAGTTCTGTCCCGATATACAAGACCCTACTCGTTTTATGAATGAAAGCGCACGTCTTCTGTGCGACCAGGGTGATGCGACGCGGTCCTAGAATTGTAATGTTGGGAGGACGTCTTCCTGCCACAAGGAAACCGCAATATCTCGGCGGTCATAGCGCGCTTAGAACTCCACGGATTTCTTTCAAATTCTTGGGACTGATTTGTAAATGCTTTGATAGCCGATAGCCAAATTCTCATATCGAAACAATAATTCATTGTGGAGTTACTATCATTTAACCATCTAGAGATTAAATCGCATGCCGTGTATACCTTGTATCTTCACAAGGAATATAAAAGAAAAGCCTATCTATTAACTGGACAGCTAGATAAGTATATTAGCCTTGCCTTGTATAAATCTATAAAATTACATACGACGTGAGATATTCGTTTAAGAAAGAAAAACGCTTACATGCGGTGCAAATTATCGTAATCGTCTGTATTTTGGACGCCATCTCGCGTGAACGCTCAAGGTCGCACAGAGCGCATACTATTAGGTGATACTCTTTATCTCACCAAGCATTTAATTGGATTATTCGTTCTGAATTTGGATGATATATCTATTAATGATTACACATGAACATGTACATGTATAACTGAATCGATATGCTAAAATCATGGAATATCACAGATCTACGTCATATTTCGGTGAGAAAAGACAAACGTGTAATTTGTGAAATCATTATAGCTCATCAACCCCTCAGTTGCCTATATTGACTACGCTTACCGTTATTTAAGTGTTACACGAGTTCGTAAGACTTTTGGGTGTACAGGATAATGCCGTTATTTTGTTGACTTTCAGAGATGATAAATTTGCACTAAAATGAATGCTGATAGGCGTGAACCAATGATAAGAGACTTTATGGAAAGGTTTCAGCTTCTACTTAAAGTCAGTACCTTGTTCAGTCAGTGTAACAGACCCTCTTTTGCCTCAGGGAAACTTGTACAAATAACTACTATTATCTATTGTGAATAAACTCTAGTTCATCTGTAATTCATGAAATGATCTTTTGTGTTCATATACAACGTGTCTCATTTTATATCATATTATAACTAGGAAAATACACACTCAACACAACATCTGAAAAGCAAGATTTGTGTGATTTCATTGACAAACATGACAGTGAAACCAGTGTTTTCAGCTACCTTTCTCGTAATGCTACACATATCAATAATCCACAGGGTCATCATCATGTACTGGAGTCATAAGACTGAACAAATACTACAAACTACTTTGACTTAAACCTGACTTGACTGATTCTACAGTAGCTCAACTTTGTTCCTGCAATGTGGCCATTCCTTAACCCTTGTCCTGCGGAGCCCATATATATATGGGTTGCACATACAGTACCATCTATATAGTGCCCTGTATATGTACGATTTGGGGGTGTTTCTCGTGCAACGCATCACACCGCAGCGAAACGCAACGAATGCGGAAGTAACCACGCCACCGCGGGCCAAAAAAAGTCAAGGGTCTGTGACCTGATTAAGACATGAAATTATTTGAAAATATTATGTAAAAATTGCCAGCAGGACAAGGGTTAACAATCACAAACAAGATTAGGAACTTCTTCACTGAATGGTTAATCTGATACCAACATAATTCACACAATGACCACTAAGCACCTGGGCTACAAGTGATTTTCAATCAATTTTTTTCACATTAGGGGAATAAACTGCAAAGTGATTTTTCAATTCAAGCTTTGAAATCCTTCATGCACACATGTAATGCAGTAAAATTTCCCTCATTGGTACAAGTACATGCATGTTCAAAGCATTGTTACAATGTTCACCATTCTCCTCAAACCTATTGTTTCATATGGTTTTTCCATATGTTTAATGGAGACCAAGTAGAATACAGGGTTCTCACCAGATTTTTTTCACAGCGTAGGGGTCAGTGATGTACAGAAGGGCAAATTTCTGTGGCACAAGCCACGCATTGAGTCCACAAAACATGCATGCAGTAGGGAATGTAGTGTTCTCTGAGAAAACTCATGAACCTGAGGCACTTTTCAATCAGAGAAGTTTGCACAAATAGCTACCATTATCAATTATGGATGGAATAAACATTAGTTCATCTTAATTCAAAATGTTATATAATTTTTGTAGTTATGTTATCTATCTCGGTGGAACGAAACATGTTTCTATAATTGAATATAATAACAATAACTATGAGAAGGCACGCTCAACACATGTACGTATGAATTACTGAAGAACTTCTTAATCTGCTCATATTCATACAAAAACTGACAATGAAAATGCTGGCTTAAGGTTACAAGTATCAGTAGTTCTTGGGAAATAATATGTGATCACATACAGTAGTCATAAGACAATAATTCACACCTGTGACAGTACTATAAATTGCATTTGTGTCCACAAATTTTCATTGCCATTGTTTTCTCAAAGCTCAGTTCCTACATGGTGTGTTATGCCGAAAGGCGGTTATACCGGCTATACAGATACAGATACAGATATAGCTAGCCAGGACTTTGAGGTGGCCCAGTGTGGTCTGCTTTCTGGTATCCACAGTTCAGCTGTATGTTGACGTCTGGCACCTGTGACGGGAAGAGGGAAGAATGTCAAATCATGCACCAGCTTTAAGCTTCTTGTACTTAGAGTTAAACATAAACCTGGCATCAAAATCAACCTGAACAAACATAATTACTTAAGATACCAGTACTGTCAATTCTTGTGCAAAACAAAACCATAAAAAAACTTCCTGGCTTACAGTGACCCTGGCTGGTATTATACAAACTAGTCTAGTATGTTGACTCTGTTGCTCCTATGGTACAAGTACTATTGTAAGAAAACTAAGATATATAGGCTAGGCCTGTTTCATTGTATTTTTTCACTTGCCTACTTCAATGACTTACATGCAGACAATGTTTTGAATATGAAAATCAAAGATTTCAGACAGTGGGGCTAATAATGAGTTTCAGTTTCTACAAATAAAACTACAAAAACAGAGTAATAATAATATCATGCACATGTAATAATTCTGTCATGCAAGGAGATGATATATAGTGATCAAAAAACCTAGAATTATGTTTACATCAATCAGCACATTAGAATAAGCAAATTGAAGAACAGTTACAAAAGTATGTCTGAATCTGATGCTTTTCCATGACCCGTGGTGGTGAAGATTTTACAAACATTGATGTGATTGTAAATGTGTAACAGTAGCCTTCATTTACTCCCCCCTCTCTGTATAGGAGTAAGGAAATTTAAGTGCAGCAATTTATCAGCATGATCTTCTTAGATATGCAACAAATAAAACCTTTGGCAGATACCACTACAGTCAAAATCAGGGTTGACTGTTAAATAAGCAAAACATTACCCAGTACACCCACAATTTCAGCAATTTGTGAGAAAAATCTTACATTTGCCGACAAACATTGCTACAATGTTGCTCTGTAGCAGACTAGAGAAGGTCTGTACTGGATTTCTATACTTAATTTTAAGCTGGTGATTTAGTTATGCAGCAGATTCATACGTATACTATGCTGTCTGAAATGTTGATCTAGTTTATATACACTTAAGTACGTACAGAATGTATTTATATTCCATTAGCACTCTAGACATGACTGAATGTAATCCAAATAATATGACCTGTCTGTACCCTGTATATATGTGTGTATACTATGAGTGTGTGTGTGTGTGTGTGCAGTAGTGTGTGTCTGTACAGTAGTATATGTGTGTGTGTATGTACAGTAGTATGTGTATGTGTGTGTGTGTGTACAGTAGTATGTGTGTGTGTGTGTGTGTATAGTAGTATGTGTGTGTGTTTGTATGTATGTACAGTAGTATGTGTTTGTATGTACAGTAGTGTGTGTGTGTGTGTGTGTGTATGTGTGTGTGTGTGTGTGTGTGTGCAGTAGTGTGTGTCTGTACAGTAGTATATGTGTGTGTGTATGTACAGTAGTATGTGTATGTGTGTGTGTGTGTGTACAGTAGTATGTGTGTGTGTGTGTGTGTGTATAGTAGTATGTGTGTGTGTTTGTATGTACAGTAGTATGTGTTTGTATGTACAGTAGTGTGTGTGTGTGTGTGTGTGTATGTGTGTGTGTGTGTGTGTGTGTGTGTGTGTGTGTGTGTGTGTGTGCAGTAGTGTGTGTCTGTACAGTAGTATATGTGTGTGTGTATGTACAGTAGTATGTATGTGTGTGTACAGTAGTATGCGTGTGTGTACATTACAATAGTATGTGTGTACATGTGTGTGTGTGCGCACGTGTGTGTACAGTAGTATGTGTGTGTGTGGTGGAGATTGTGTGTGGGGGGTGGATTCATACATTGGGAAACTCAAGGCTATATTCAAGGAGAATGGGACAAAAGACTAGGTCTAGGAAATCCAGCCGCTAAGTCAACAGGTACTACAGGGCAGTTGTCTTCTTGCTTGACCAAGATCATAAAGGTGTGTAATTATATCAGAAACAATGTGCTGCAAGAAAATCTGCAGTAAAGGTTTACATATTGGCCAGGCGACGTTCTTCTCAGTAGATAGAATAGGGGAGCTGAGGTCGTCCCAAGTGTACAGAGCATGGGGTTTTGACCAGCTTATTCCCCTTACTGACTTCAACCGGTTACTAGTACGCATACTAGTACAAAGCCTTAGTAAGGTATATGAATGGGGTATGAATATTATAATACAACATGTAGTTATGTTTGAGTTCTTTTTGAAGTCGGTGGAAGACAAACAAGTCATATGTTTTTCGACTGGGTTCTGCAATTTTCTTTTTTTTCTGAAAATGTGGATGGAATTTGGTGGCTGAAGTTCGATAATGCCTCAGATTAACTTTCTTTTTTTTTGGCAATTAGCAATTGGACAGAAGAAGCTGAGTTATAATTAGCTAGCGTGCACACACCGAAGGGCGCTTATCCCGCTGCTATACCGATACCATATATTTGACAAGCACAACTAGCTAGGGTAGTCGGAATCTGCTACCCGGTCTGGTCCACATGATTCCACAGAACTAGTACCAACAAAGTCTTTCACACTAACCTGGTATCCAGGTGGCTGGGCGGGTTTTCTTCAGGGCTGCTGAACCTCGATTGTGGAGGGGCGAATCAACTCCTGGTGTGCGGCATATCATTCAAATATACCGGGTGGTCTGTTGAGCTGGACAGGGGGAAAACTATTAGAGCCCCGAAGACAGCATGCCCCAAGCATGATAGATTGGATAAACTGAAGTTACTTTCAAACTGATATTGTTACTAGAGATATGGTAATGAATGCATGTATGATTTAGGATATGTAGCATGTAACTTGTTACATGTAATTAGTGTCATCATCTGGATAACTGATCTTTCTTTTGTGGTATTGATATTAATGTTAACTAACAACATCCGACATTATCTTTGCTAACAGGTCAATATATTGCCACTCTCACATTCTAATCTAAACCATCAAATTATGCCAAATCTGATATAATTTTGTACGGCAATTATAAATAACATCAAACTCGAAATCAGCTCAACAAAATAATTTTTAATCTCCAAGTGGAAAACAAAATAATCTTTAACCTGCAAGTAGATTCTGTGGGGAAAATGAGGCAATACTTATATGTATTCGATGGGATGCCTACATAATATTTATTCATTGGTCTCCTGTAAGTGTCTTAGTTTAAACCATTGCATAATGGGCCAGCCAAGCAGGAAGTCAATGGATAATCTGCAAGTATTAAATTGGCCAGTCTGTAACCATTTCCCCAGACTGGCCAATTTGATACTGTCTAGCCCCCCTCCCCCAAACATCTGCTTGGAGATTAGTCAGTGTGGATATGGCCCGACAATATATATTATTGACTCGCTTTTACCCCACAGAATCTGCTTAGAAATAAAAGAATATTGAGATGTTCAAAACTACGGCGATATGTACAGTGAAAACAGGCAAGAAATACCTACCTATATAACATGCCTTATCAAAGTTGGACGTGATTTGTTGGCGAAAAGACGAAGGATCGGGTCAAACAAACATCCATCCACAAAGTCGAAAGGCAATCTGCCCGTCGTTGTTTCGCATCAGTCGATGGTCTCATGAAAGTACATGTACTTTAACTAAGCTATAATAATACTCCGTTAACAGTATTAAAAACATCTCGTGGCAGCAGCCTTGGTGTTTATTTTCATCCTGAATACTAGTAAAAACTGTCCGAGTCAGATCAAAAATGGCGGCCATTACCGACCTATAAGAGGTCATCTACCCGGTGACCTCGCCAAGAAAATACTCCTGATTACCCATATAACTGCGTGTGCAACACTGTCCGGCCGTTAACTTCCTTAGTAAGGAACTGAGTTACTAATAACGGTCACATCCTAGGATGTGAAGATAGCCTCTTGGCTTATTAGTTAGTATATAACGGTGGTCACCATTAGTTACTAGTTACTATAAACGGTATGTGTATGGGGTCTCCTGCGAGTCGGATCGCGGTCGGGCCGATACCTCGGGCGATACGGAATACCCCGTGTTGTATTCTATATATATTAACCAAGAGTAGCAATGGAATGTAGGGCAAAATGTGGGTCGTCTTGATACGTCATACTGGCCCGGCACGGGTTTGGCTTCTGGCACTAATAGTACAAATGTAGTAGTAATACCATAGCGGCTATGCCATAGGGGCCCGCCAAGGGTGTCGGGTGGAGAACTGATGCCTAGGACTAGGTCACATTTCCAAACCGGGGCCCGACCGGGCTGTTTGTATGAACGAAAACTCACAATTCATATCAAGAATATACAGGAATAGTGCCCTTGATTATTATCGAAAACTTTTCTGTGTTTCCTTGTCTTTTAATCGTAGTTTTCGTTCCATAAGACTGCCCGGCCGGGCCCCGGTTTGGAAATGTGACCTCAGCACTAGATAGAACAGAAG